AAAAATCGAATTGCACACATTCATGATGTCATCGACGTATTTGTTAAATTATTATAAGAGAGTATAGGAGAGTATTTTTGCAAACTTTGTTTATGGTTATAATTCGGTATTGACTAAACATAAGGCTCTTAAGCACACAAAAGGCTTTTAAAATTGCATTAGAGAAGTTTTTTAGTTGCAACTATTATAGTTTTATAGTGTTAATCAGGAAACATGTTTTTGATAATTAGGTACTTAATTATAGCTATATTTATCATGTCTTGTGATAATACGAAAGATATTTGGTGTCATTTATACAGGGTGATTCGTAAATATCGACATAAACCAATATATTTTTTTATGAGTAGGTATTAATGGTAAAACTCAGTATATTTACGTGACTTTTGTGTATTTCCCATATGTTTAATTATGCAATTCATTGACTAGAGGGTGATTTAATAAATATATTTAATAGTAGTTAATTTATGGAATGTGTCAAAGAAACGATTTTGGATTAGTTCTGTAAAAGTATACATATATTTTCACTGGCGTATCATCCAAAATTATAGCTTTTCTATTATTGATTTTTGAGATACAGGGTGTTAAACTTAAGAAACACCACTTATTTGTAAAGGTTATTTCAGGAGAAAGCTAATCGATTATAATTTTGGGCCAAATCTTATTGTTTTGGCATTCTACGAATATAAAAAGGGGTTAAAAATTATTTTCCCTTACAGGGTAAGTCACAAATAAGTAAAAATATGTTTTATAAGTATTAATGTGAAACGCGGTAATTTTACGGGACTTTTTTTGTATTTAATATATGTATAATTATCCAATTCATTGACTACAGGGTGATTTAATACATATATTGATAGTTCATTAATCAAATGTTTAAAAAAAAAACAATTTTTTGACACCCTATACTTTTTGATTAGTTCTGTAAAAGTGTACATATTTTTTCACTGGCGTATTATCCATCCTGTAGAAGATACTTTTCAAAATTACAGCTTTCTTCTATGAGTGGTTTTTGAGATACAGGGTGTTAAACTTAAAAAATGACCATTTTTTATTACCAGTTTCTACAAGGAAACAGCTAATCAATTATAATTTTGTATCTAATATTATTATAACATCCTTTGACACTCTACCAATATGCACAGGAGTCCAAAAATATTTGTCTCTACAGGGTGAATCGTAAATAAGTAAGGACATGTTTTTTTATAATTACTCTCATTGTTTTAGAAGTTGAAAATATGTACAAAAAATTCATTAAAGCTATATTTATCATTATACGGAGTCATTCGATTTTTTTTTAATGAATGTGAAACTTAGTATTTTTAGTTGACTCTTGTGTATTTGTTATAATATTAACATGTGTATAAATATACAATTTATTGATTACATGGTGATTTAATAAATAAATTAATAGTTAATATATATTACTGGAAGGAACATGCTCATCTATACAGATAGCAGACAAGCACTACTATTTTGGGTGCCAGGTCACCAAGGGATCGAAGGCAACGAAATGGCTGACGAACTTGCAAAAAGAGGGTCAGAAGAAATACCGGAACCAGACAGAAAGCCAGGAGTACCAAAAAGAACAGTCCGGGGTTTCATAAACGACTGGATTCGGGAACAACATATCAACTATTGAAAAAGCACCCCAAAACAGACACATGGAAAAGCCGTCATAGGCAGACCATGTCCCAAAAGAACTGGAGAACTACTCTTTATGAATAGGAACTAGTTGAAAGTGATAACAGGGTTCATGATTGGGCACGCCCCAGTAAAGAGACACTTGAACAAAATTGGAATGTACAATGGGAAACTCATGTACCGACTATGTCACAAGAAACCAGAAACGGCCAAATACATACTGTGCGAATGCGAAGCTCTAAATCGCAAAAGACAGGCTCTTTTTGGACAACCCCAGGTTGATCCAACAACGTATAGAACCCACTCACCCAAGGATCTGTACAAACTTGTACAAGGTACAAAGGTGACAGAGTAGGTGCTATGAACTAACATGGGGTAAAACACAATAAGCCAATGGGCTTCAGTGTTATTCGGAGACATAGTCAGACGAGCCCAGGAAAAAAATTGATTAGTTTTTTCCTGTAGTAACTGGTTATAAAAAAGGGTAATTTTTTAAGTTTAACCAATCCTAGAAGAGAGCTATAATTTTGGAAAACGTCTTCTACAGGTAAAAAAGTATGTATACCTTTACAGGACTAATCAAAAAGTATAGGGTGCTTAAAAAAATTGTATTTTTGTCACATTCGATAAATTAACTACCAATATGTTTATTAAATCACCCTAAAGTCAAAGAATTTAATAATTATTCAAATGGTAAATACAAAAAAGTCCCGTAAAAATACTGCGTTTTACATTAATACTTATAAAAAAATATATTGATCTATGTCGATATTTACGAACCACCCTGCATAAATGACACCTAATATCTATTATATTATCGTTAGGGATGATAAGTATTGTTATAATTTATTTTTTAGTAAATATGTTTACCTTCTAGTCTAAAAGTAATTATCAAAAACATGTCCTTACTTATTTGTGGCTCACCCTGTAAAAGAAAATAATTTTTGACCCATTTTTATATTCGTAGAATGCCAAAAGATATTTAAATAAGATTTTGCACAAAAAAATATTATCTATTAGCTTTCTCCTGAAATAATCGTTATCAAATAAGTTGTTTTTCTTAAAAACCAGTCATAGGATTTGAATAGTCCCATTAACACTATTGCTTAAGAGGTCAAGAACTGCAACATGTCAAAAATTTATGACATTTAACAGGTTGCCACTTTTCCATAAGCGGTGTGTGGGGACTTTTGTCATATATTTTACAAAAAATTCCATTTGAATTTCAAATTTTATTATTTTAATTTCAAAACTTATCAAAATTAATCTACATAATACTATTCCCATATTCTACATAGTAAGTACACCTGAACATTCTTACATGGTATTAAGGAGGTCCTTTCGCCACACCTCTCGCCTCAAATGTTAAAAAAAAAAGTTATTAGATTATGACTAAAATTAATTTTTTTCTAATAGTTGTTATTTATCTAATACTGAACTTTTAACTATACCTTACCTTGCAAATTTTTGATAATTTTTTTTTTAATGTGGGTATTTGTACAGTGCCTCACGAGAAAGTAAGTCCTCAACAACAATTCTCGAATTATACTATTATTTATTGATTAGATGGAGTAGAAAAAAAACTAAAAATAAGGTTTTTGAAATATTTAGATTTTGTTTTATACAATAAAATATATTTAGTAAACCGTGGAACTTATTGAGAAGTTAATATTAAAAAATCACAAAAAATGTTCAAGTAACCTAGTTGAAAATTTTTTGTGATTTTTTAATAATAATTTCTCAATAAATTCCACGGTAACCTATATATTTTATTGTAAAAAACAAAACCTAAATATTTCAAAAACCTTATTTTTAGTTTTTTTCTACTCCATCTAATCAATAAATAATAGTGAAATTAATTATAATTCAAAAATTGTTGTTGAAGTCTTACTTTCTCATAAGACACTGTACAAACACACACATTTTTAAAAAAAAAATTCTCAAAAATTTGCACGGTAAGGTATAGTTAAAAGTTCACTATTAGATAAATAAGGACATCTACTATTAGAAAAAAATTAATTTTAGTCATGATCTAATATTTTTTATTTAACATTGGTGGCGAAAGGACCTCCTTAAATAGATTTTTATTGGTGTCTTTCTAAGCAAGTTAGATGAAAAAAAGAGATTGCACGGAAGGACTTTTAACACATTGCCTCTTCAAAATTCGACAGATAACACAATTGCCTATCAAATTCATTTTAAGGCTCAAATTCACGCTCAAATTACATACAGTGAGGACATAGAGGTTGGAATAAATTTAATATTTTTTTGTCTAACAGTATTTTAACAAAATGCTTTCACAGGTTAATTTTTATTTTCAACTGCGCTATGTAGAATTGAATGTACTAATGACGTCACCACTTTCGTGTACATGAAGTCATCGATTTTTTAAATAGAACAACATATTGTTCTCTTCGTTTTTGAATTCCCCAATAGTAGAAGATTACTAAAATATAAGTAACAGATAGTCCAACGTAATTGGTTTGTGAATTAGAGAAAAATGTTATATCAGAAATTTTAAATCCAAAATTTTATTAAAAATAGTGGACTACTAAACATGATAGGTTTTTATTAATATCGTTTTTTTTGACATGTGTTGGTTTGGTTTAGAATAATATTAAAAGTTTTTTAGTATAGTCCACTCAATATAATTTTAGATTCAAAATTTCTGATATAACATGTCTCTCTAATGCACAAACCAATGACTTTGGACTATATAGTATTACATATATTTTTGTATTCATATATTATTGGGACATTCAAAAATAAACAGATATGCTGTTCTATTTAAAAAAATCGATGATGTCATTAGTACACTCAATTCTAGCGTAAACATTATGTCAAATTGACAGAAGCCAAAAGCGTTCCAGCAGGTTGATTAAATAATAACCTCTAGTCTTCATAATAGTAACATATATCAATCACTTATTACTCTTAGTAGGAGACAAACATTTGTGTGCAATTTCTTTTCGAGATTGAAATGACTATTTGGAAATACAATTGGCACATTTTGAATTAGAATTGGAAAAGGTGTAGTAGTTTTTCGTCGCAGATTTTTTCCAAAAGTTTAAGTTGTAAATGCCTTAGGAAGGTCCAGAAAAATTCTAATTGTTGGAATTGTTATACTCTCTGTAGTGTTCCTCTAATAGAACTTTATTTACCAAAATAATATACAAAAGTCTATAATAAGAATGTTTGTCAACTTGCGAGGTTAGAATTTTAAAACCAGTCTAAATATATATTAGAATTTAAAAAAAAAATTAAAAACACAATTTTCAAAAAAATACAATTTATTTAATCGTAATAAATAATTTTAAATATTTACAAATTCGGTCGTTATATTAAAAAAAAAAATCAGTCTACCATTCATAAGCGGTTCCCAAACCGGTGAAAGTGGTGTGAGCTACAACTGTAGCCGGGGAATAAGCTATCGCAGCTTTCGCTACAACGGGAGCACCAACGGCTTTGGCTACTAATGGACCATGAGCATAAGCAACTGGAGAATGAGCAGCGTAAGTGGCTATCGGAGCATGAGCAGCATAAGCGGCTACTGGAGCAGCATGAGCAGCATAAGTGGCTACTGGAGCATGTGCGGCGTAAGCTACTGGAGCTACAGCCTTGGCCAAAAGTGGTTGAGCCTGGTGGATGTAAGCGTTGCTAACAGCAGGTGCAGAAGAATAAGCGTAGGCTGGGCCAGCAGAGTAGGCTACTGGAGCAACTGCTTTGGCTAAAACTGGTGCTGCAGCATAAGTTTTGGCTACAACTGGAGCAGCGTAGGATACGGGAGCGTGAGCAACAGTTAAAGCATCGTTGGTAATACGAGTATCGAATTTTCTGACGCTAGAGAAGGCGCTATCGATGGCTTTGGAATAATGGGAGATGGATTGTGCTCCTCCTAGTGAACGTTCGACACTTTGATGGGAGGATCCGTAGCTGGGACTGTGGATGGCTACGGATGGCGCTGCGTAGCTGATGGAAGCTGGAGCAGCGTAACTAATGGGAGCTGGGGCAGCGTAGCTAATGGGTCCAGCTGATGCAACCGCGAGCGGCGCCTGGTGGATGTAGGCATGGCTGACGTCTGGAGCTGAAGAGTAAGTTGCTACGGCGGGGGCGTTCAAGAATCCTGCATTGGCGTAGGCTAATAAGGTTGCGATAATAACAAACTAAAAAAAAAATTATAGTTTTTATCATTTTTATCTCAAATCATATTGGATTAACATATTTTATTAATATAAACATGAAGTAAGAATAAGATCAAAATCAATATCACATAATATGTATTTAGTTTAAGAGTGTCGCGATTAGTTTTGGCCTACAAGTTCATCCTCGGAAATAAAGTGGTCACAAAAAAATTAATAAATGTTATCAAATTTCATTATTTATTAATTTCATTAGTACAAAACATTAATGGTATTTTTTAAAAAAGTTTTAAATATTTAAATAATTTGAAAATATTATGTAATATATAAATATACGTAAGAAGTTTTAGTTAAAGGGACAACCAAAGAACCAAAGATAATCAATGAAAGTTCCTCAAATCAATTTTGTAACTTGAAAATTGTGATGGTGCTGGGAAAATTAATTACATTGCAGTAATAAAAATTGAAAATGTGTTGATAAATTTAATGCAGAATTAATGAAATTAATAATTAAAAAAAAAAACAGAAATCTTAGTGTAAACAGTAGGACAATAAACTTCTATCGTTTAAAATGGAGGTTTGGCCATTTATAATGCAGTGTTGTCAGATCCTCAGATAAGTCAGGGAAAAAACGAAAAAACTGTTTAAAAAATCGAAATATATATAGAATCTGGAGATTGATAAAATATAGATTTCCAGCAGGACTACTGCGATTTGCGCGCTCAACAACTGTTGTAAAAGCTCACATACCGGAAACAACTATTAAGAGAGCGGAAGATGAGTGAAATGGAATTGAAAATATTTTTAAACTGATAAATGAAAAAAGGTTGTAGATTAAACAATTAAAGGAAGATAATACCAAATTGGAAAGATCAGGTGACTGAATAGGAAAATAGTATAGAGAAACTAGAACGAAAGATAAAAAATGTAGTATAACATATAAATAGAAGAAGAAGCATACAAAATTCTAGAGAAGTTAGGAATCAGTATCGATTAAAAGATAAAAGTAGATGAAATAAAAAGAATCGAAAAATACACTGTAGAAAGAAAAAGACAATATTTGAAATTCCGAGAAACACATGAAAATTAGACGGCATGGATATATGGATAGACGAAGAAAAAAGATCCCAGATTAGGCAATTGTAAGAAGCCGGGTAAAAATGATTTAGCGCATTTATAGAATACAACAAAATAATTAGAAATAGAAAAGTCTAGAGAGCAAGAAATTAATAACAAGAAGAGGATATGAAAAATGAAGAAGAAATAGGAAAGAGTAGACAAAAAAGAACAGGCAGTTAAAGATCACCAGAAGGTAAAAATTAAAACAATTTAGGAAAAATAACAAAAAAAAAGATGCAACCTATAAGGGAAGTATAAAGGAAATACAGACCAGGCGATGAAAACTGATACGAATACGAAAGGAAGAAGAGACAAAATCGGCAGTAACAAAACTAAATCAACGAAAAAACTACAGAACAAAATACTTGTAGAAGATAATATTTTTATAAGAACATAGAATGTTAGAGATAAAATTAAACAAGGAGCTCTCAAAAATATTAAGGATGACTACAGAAAAAGGAAGTTTGACATTATGGCTCTGCAAGAGACCAAACTAAAAGAAAATTAAATTCTAGAACTCGACGATTCTATATTTTTTAATATAGAGGGGGAGAAAATTGGCATTTTGGGTCAGGTTTCATGGTAAGCAAAAGATTAATAGGGACGAACAATAGTTAATTTTAAATCACTTACAGAATGAATGTGCACCATCAGAAGAAAAAACTATTGAGATAAAAATAGAATATTATAACAAATAAGATACAGAATACGGTAAGATTCCCGGATATGATATAAATATTGTATTAAATGAGGCAAATACAAAGAAAGGTAAGGAAGAATATCAACCAGTAATAGTAAAATATCTTAATCGAAAAAAATCCGGTTAAATTTGAGTTCTCATGGTATTACATACCACGGATTAAATTTAAAAAAAAATTGGTTAAAAATAAAACAAAAAGGATCTTACTTTGAACGCCATTGTATGCAGTGTATGTATGGATCTTGTTGAGCAACTGATGCATATTGAATTAATTCATTGATTTTTATAGTGAGCCGAAATTACATAATTTTCGTCCCAGCTGAAGTACCCGAAACCGAATAATATGGTTCGATGTGATCCACTTTCGCTCTCGTTGAAGGTCTGGGTTAGGGCGTGCCACTTTTTGAACTCGAATTCATCGTTAAATTGAGGGCCATCGAGCAGAGATGTCTTCAGGTCATCTAAGAAGCAATCGTCTCTCGGCATATTAACTTTTACCGTTTTAGCGCTGATTAATTAAAATAATTGTAACAAATAATCTAATAATAAATAAATTTATTTACAGAAATGTTCATTGTATAGGTATTAGAAACTAATTTTGTTCTGCAAACGACCGTTTTTTAATTTTTTTCCATAACAAGATATTTGATAAGAGAAGGATCTTTTCAACAATTCTTCATTATGAGCGGAGGCATCAATACTATTCTTCTTCTTAGATTTAAATTATGAACATCGGAACGGAATCAAACTGTATCGTACAAATTGTAGTTTTATTTTTAAGAATTTTGTCGAAAAAGCATTAAGAATGTAACTTGACATATTATGGTTGAAAGTATGCTTTAGAAAAGCGACACCCATAAGCTTTACCGATTCTCAATTTGGAATATATACAGGGTGTTTCATTGGGAAAGGCAAATATTTTAATCCTATATAGAGATCACTCAGGGGATCACAAAAAACCCATATAGTATGGGTCTTGCGACCTTTATAACCAAGTTATACTGCAGGGGCGGCTGGTGACCAAAATTTTGGGGGTTCACAGTAGCAGAATATAGATCCCGGTACAGATATAGGTAAAAAACTGTCAGTGTTTTGGAAAGGTATATTATACACTTTCTAAAATAAAATAAGTTTTTTCATAAATCTGTACTGATACCTATATTCTGTCACTGTGAACCACCCCACGAGCCGCCACTGAGTTACAGGGTGGTTTTTGAATTTAGCTCATTTCTTCCGTTCTTTATAACTTTTGAATCACTCAGTGTATTCTTTTATTTGGCAAAGATAATCTACACCTATATGACAATTTATCGACACTTAAAAAATTTTAATTTCCAGGTCTGACTGTGCAAAAATTATCAAAATTTGACCCATCCCAAAACAACACCCTATACATCAAATTTTTAAAAATTGAGTTTCAAATTTGGAAAAGTCATAAAAACTGAATACATTCATCAACTTTTATTTTTCCGCATGCCATTTACTACCAACATTTTAACGTTAAAATGTACCTTTTGAAAATTTTAGTCTATGCAAAATGTAGTTGAGTTGAAATAGTAGTTTGCACAACAAAAATGGATAAATTTTCAAAATATAAATAGCTAGATAATAATAGTAGTTTGTGCAACAAGAGTGGATATGATGTCCATATCACAAGGTTAGCAAAATTGGTACTGGAGATTGAATTTCGCGTAAAGCTCTAAAATAAAATGTTTTTTCTGAAGAAAAAGATGTTTATAAGAAAGACATTTCCATTTTTAAAGAAGCTGATGCTGGTTCAAATGTTTCTTCTGCTGTGAAGCAACATATTCTAACTTGTCAAAATGGAAAGTATATGTGGGACATGCTTCATTCCATTTTTGAGCAGAAGAATGAAAGTTGGTTAAATATGCTATATAGTCGAAGGTACCTGCTGATACTATTACTATGCATGTTTTTAAGCTGCAGAAAATCTGGCAAGATTTGCAAGATGAACTCAAGGCTGATCAAGTACAGCTGCATGAGTCAATGTTGCTAAATAGAGTGCTTAATACGCTGCTTGCAGAATATTTATAATTTAAAAATGCTTGATAATCAACACCAACTGTAGAAGAAGTCTCATTCGGTTGACCAAACGATTAAGACTACATGAGCAACATCTAGATGAACTCGAGGGGAGCCATGATCCAAAGCTAGCACTTGTGACGAAGTCAGAATAAAGATGGAGAAAACGTAAACAAACAGAAGTATCGGAGGAGGGTGCGTTGTTATGGTTGTGGAGAAGAAGGCCATATAAAGCGAAACTGTGCGAAATCAGGTCCGTCGTCTAAAAGCAAAGAGAAAAGTTTTTTTTGCAGCTTTTGGTGCGGAGAATGGTCTTGATGGCTGGATCCTAGGTTCAGGAGCTAGTTCCCGCATGACAAATTACTTACGATTCTATAGTTCTTTCTTCAGATATAAGACTATAATATCTGTAAATGTATAAGACATTTGTATGTAAGTTATCAGTTCATCAAAATGTTTTCTTATATTAAAGTGTACCACTCCAAGACCGAGCTTATCCTTTTTTTCCAATTTTTCCCTGACATAATTTTGGAAATTATTACAGATCTTTATATCAATATTTTTTTCGCAATCTAAAGCATCCAAGAATTATAACATCTTAAATTTAATAAAATAAGCTGCAATTTATGTACATTCATATGAAACAGGTTTTTTCTCTTTGTTTATTTTTTTTTTTTTATTTTCAAAATTGGATCAATAGCCCAACTTCCCGAAGTAGCCTCATAGTAAATTTACATCTTGTTTTAAAGTTATTAAATAGTGAATCTTTCAATTTTTTACCAGTCATTAGTTGTAGGATGTTAATTTTATCTAAGCTAATCTAAATAAAGTCGTTTTTTTAAGAAAAGAATTTTAAAATAGGATTTATAAGTTTCTTTCATAACTCTTCGATAAGGTAGGCAGAATACTAATACCTCTGAGATGAATATAGTCTGCCATTAACGATATAGGTCAATAATTGTTGATGTTAGGTATATCTCCCTTCATATACAGGGTGTCCAGAAACGCTCTTCAAAGAATGAAACCACGAAATTTAGAGCTGATTTTATGATGATTTCGCCTAAATTACCTTAATTAAAAAATGCTTCCTAAGGGAGCTAGAGCTCTTTGAAGATAGCGCTCTAAAATCGGTTTAATTGAAATACCTTTAAAACGGATTTTTAAATGATATTATTCTATACATTTATTTATTTGAATCTAACCAATCAAATTTCGTAAATAAGATTTTTTTAATGTACTCATAAGTGGCTTGTTTAGGTGGGGTATTGGATATTTTTATTAATTTTTTTTTGTCTTTCGAAAAGTCGCCAATTTGAAATTAAATTTAAAAAATCTCGTAATTTTCACACACTCCTATCTGAAGTCTCCATGATCAACCGTTTTCAAGAAAAATGGACTCAAACTTTTCATGTCTTTACATACGTTTTCATTGATTAAAAAATAAATTTCAAAATTATGATAAGGTGGCCATGGAAAATAAACAAAGTACCTAAGAATTGTATAAAAAACTGTTTTTACCCAAACTTTAGGTAGGTACAATTAATGACTGTGCTTTTTTGAAGTAAAAAAATTAATTCGTGTAAAATTTCTGTTGATACAATTTATTTAAAAAAAATAATAACGAAATGATAACTGAAAGTATTAAACACAAAATTAAAATTACATCTAAAGCAGATGCTACAATGACGACCATCCGTTTCTATGCATATATATTTTCGTTGCAAGCATTCTGACTTCATCTCCAAAGGTGATTCCGTGATTCAATTGGTTGCGAATAAACCATTGATTTGAGATATCCCCATACACAAAAATCGCATGGATTTAAATCCGGAGACCTCGCTAGCCAAGCAACCGGTCCGCCTCTTCCTATCCATCGGTCTCGGTAATTATTGTCTAAAAACTCACGAACATTTCTTCAAAAGCCAGCTGGACAACCATCATGTAAATACCACAAGTTCTATCGAATATTTAAATAAATGTCATCCAATAAATCTGGTAAAGTATTTTGTAAAAAGTCGAGATAATCCTCACCATTTAAACGATTGGGAAATTCTATAAGCCCAAACAGATTGTCACCAAGGACACCTATCCATACATTGATGCCAAATCTTTCCTGATGTTTAGTTTCTTTTATAACATAAGGATTATCACCAACATAAGAGTAGTAATGTGTATTATGCATATTAAAAATTCCATTTCTTGTGAAAATAGCATCATCAGAAAACAGAATGTTTATAAAGAAGTGATGATTTTGATTTTCTTGCATTCGTAACCAAATAGAAAAGACGCACAGGCAGGAAAATCACCAGCATTAAGAGCCTGAACTTTTCTAAAATGAAATGGGTACAAGTTTTGCCGATGGACAATGTTCCACACAGATGATTTAGAAATATTAGGATACATTGCAGCTAATATTCTTATGCTAATTTCAGGGTTTTTCCTCGATTGCCATTAAAATAACATTTTCATATTCCTCGAATACGTCAGCATGTCTGCCAGTTTCGTTGTTACTGGGAATTACAGATCCTGTTTCCCTAAGTCTTTAATGAAGAACTGTGAATGTTTTTGAAGCAGGATGTCTCCTATTTGGAAATTTATCGGCATACCTACGTGACGCTGCCAGCGCCTTACATTTCATTTCACAATACACTAAATGTATTTCAGCATTCTTCATTGCTAAACCAAACCATCTTTAAGTTTTAATATTTTAGAAATTAAGATAATTCTAAACAATAAGTAACAGAAAACTTACTTGTTTATTTTCCACAGTTATCTTATCATAATTAATTTAGAAATTTATTTGTTAGTCAGTGGAAACATGAAAAGTTTAAATCAATTTTTCTCGAAAACGGATGGTCGTGGAGACTTTAGACAAAAGCATGATTTTTGAGTCAAAATAACGAAACTTTTTAATATGATTTCAAAATGGCAAATTTTTGAAAGAAAAAAAATTAAATAAAATTATCCAATACCCCACTCAAACGAGCCGCTTATGACTACATTAAAAAAATCTTATTTACGAAATTTGATTGATTAGATTCAAATAAATAAATGTACAGAATAACATCATTTAATAAAAATCCGTTTTGAAGGTATTTCAATTAAACCGATTTTAGAGCGCTATCTTCAAAGAGCTCTAGCTCCCTTAGGAAGCATTTTTGGATTAAAGTAATTTAGGCTAAATCGTCATAAAATCATCTTTAGATTTCGTGGTTTCATTCTTTGAAGAGCGCTTCTGAATACCATGTATAATATAATATAAAAATAGGATGATATTGGGTTTCATGAAAGTAAGCCGAATATTTTGTTAATAATTATTTAAAAATATACAGGGTGAGTCATGAGGAACCTTACAGACTTCTACCATATGTAGAGTCCCTTAAGGGGTATATTATATGAGCATTAAAAAGTGGCAACTCCCCTTCGTTATTAATAGACGGGGT